TACTAGGGGCTCCTGGCCTTACTACTAGGAGCAAGGACGCTACTAGGCCTCCAGGCCTTACTACTAGGAGCAAGGACGCTACTAGGGGCTCCTGGCCTCACTACTAGGAGCAAGGACGACCAGCGCCAGTACATCTCAGGCTCCCCCACCTGTGCGCCGTGTCTCGCCGAGTGGAAGGTGGTCCGCCGGAAGCTGCAACTCACCTGTCGAGTTCGGCCGATGGCCGGTGAATGCTTGGTTCGGGTTGTGCCAATTGGAAGTTAAAACGCGCTGTCGAATTTAGAAAGCTTCGGTCCGGTTGGACCACGCTTTTGGAATCAAACTGAACCAATCGAACCGCGAGATGTGATGCAAGGAGGCAGAAGTTGCACAGGGGCTCACCATGGGTGACAGGCCGTCCCTCTCGATGAGTGCTTGAATCTCTTCCACCTTACAACTGCGCACGTCTTGTGGGAAACACATTTTCCTCAAGGGATAAACCTTCCAAAAGGTTCCATCAAGGTATCATTTGTCTGTTTAGTCCATCAAAATATCAGCGTAGACAAATAAAGTATTTAGATGACTCCCTTGTATGTTGGCGCGCATGTCGAGAGATGTTGAGAGAGTATTGCTCTATCTACTGAGCCCATCTGAGTTTACCACCCATGGCGCACAACATGCCACTGAGGTCCTGGCTCCCGGATCGCTTCGCCCTGAAGGCTCCTGCTTTCTACACAAGGCTGCGACCTGGAGAAGCGGATGGTTTACAGGCATTCACTGCCTTCGCCCCGCCTTCGCAACACTTTGTGGGGTTTGTGTAATCTACCTGACCGTACAGGCAGAATCGGTTGTCAACGTTTGGTCTGCCTAAAGGCCTAAAGGCACATGCACCAGAACCCCAACGGCAAGATGGGTTTGGCCTCACTGTGCTTCATCCTACTGCTGCTCTTCTCTCGGTTCTGATAGACAATGTCCAGGAAGACCTCTGCAGCACATCCGACTCTGAGGGGGTAATTAAATGTTTTCAACTCTGAAGGCCTGGACGATCGCTGGAGGTGCGAAAACGAACTCGTCTTGAGGGGTCGTCAGAGTTCCTAATAGCGATGCCCTCCAACCTAACCTACTAGCAAAATGCCCTCCACTGGCAATGCTGAGCGATGGCCCCTACTATCGATAGCCTCCAACCTAATAGCGATTGCCTCCAAACTAATAGCGATTGCCTCCGACTCCAACCTCCGTTGTCCAAAAAAATTGACATGTTCACTTCGTCCATGCGGTCCATGTCCACAGCTTCCATCTCCGCCTCCTCGGCCGCTCCTTCGACCTCAAGAGCGGAAGCGGATCATCTGTCTGTCTAGTGTCATCGGCTTCGAGCTGAGGAACAATAGATCGGGGTGGAACAGGATCGATCGGATCAATTTTGCCTTCACAAGCACCTTTGCAAATAAAGAGCAGGGAAATAGACAACGAACAAAGTCTTAGAAACGGTTGCCCCTTTCAACATTAGTCATAGTCTTCTTCCTTGCATTCCTGGTGAGCACCTGGGAACCTACCAGGTCCACGGCAGATATTACGCCGCGTCTCAAGTGAGAGCTGTCATGTTCCAGGTGTTTATTTCGCAATGGGTTTTCGCAGTACAAACATGCATCTGACGAATTTTGCGCTCTTGTTTCAGTCAGAGGTCTACTGTTTGGAGCTGTCAAGACAGGCCTGGCGCACTGCAAAGGACTTGTGGAATGGCACTTGGTTCTTCCAGGACTTCTCTTGCAGTTCCCAAATTTGGTCTGCGAACGGCTCAGTGGTGTGCGATACAAAGAAGCCGGCGATGAAAGTACCGTCCACCTCCACCAAACCTGAGAGTCGCTGACTAGCGGCCATCTGACTCTTGTCAGCGAAGTGGCATCAGGAAGCGCTCTGCCTGGCAGCAGCGGCAACCAGCAGCTGTACCAAGCCCTGCGTTCGGGAGCAGAACTGCCGTCCATCTTGACGCACTTAACAATCATGGTCACCAGAAAGAACGAAAGAAATTGTCATAAGCTGATCCTCGTCCCACAGAAGGTGCAGCCAGTGAGGCGCAGATCGTTGTGACCAAATCAAGTCACTCCAATTGGAACTTCTGAGGCTTGCAAGTAAAACGTCTCTGTAGCGTCCACTCTGCAGCTTGGTGCTGAGAAGTTGGTTTGTCGATGGCGTCTAGAGTATAGGACACTTCCGCTGGACTTGGCCTGCGTGACGGAGTTGACTCATTCCAGAAGGCTGTTTCCTAGGGACAGGACTGGAAATGATCGATCTCCCAGCTGACTTCAGCTGGATCGGACCAGCTGCCTTTGAACACTGTACAAGGTTGAAGACGGTGGACATCTCCCGGACTGGCATTCAGGAAATTGTAGGGGGCGCCTTTGCATGCTGCCCCCAACTACAGTGCCTCAAACTGAGCAAGACCCTTAGACGCATTGGGCGAGAAGCCTTCATGAAGTGTAGCTCATTAGAAGTCATACACACTCCACCTGCCTTGCTATACATCAATAAGCGAGCCTTTGCTGGCTGTACACAGCTTCGTAGCAGCTGCAGCCCAAGTAGTAGAGACTTTTGGAGGTTTGCGAACTTTTGCGCCCTTGACGGACCGCTGGACCTCCCTTCTTCTGGCTCTCTGCATGTGTGAGCAAAGACGCTGGTTTTCTTCGTTGGTCTTTCACCACCACTGGTTGCATATCCTCAGAAATGCGTGAGTCCAGGGTTTACAGAAGTTCAATGCACTTAACTTTAAAAAGATCCATATGCAACTCAGGAACAGAAACGCTTGTCCTCGCCGCTCAGTGCAGAGTCGGCAGAAAATATGTGAGGAGACCTCGCGCGTCCATCTTTGGACAACTTCCATGTTTGAGCCGGCGTGGAGGCAGCGTCGCTTCCTCACGGGTGGCTGCCCTGATGAGCCTTCAATGTAGCGTTTCCGCAACACCACAACTCAATGAGTCTTCCATCACTTCCGTGGCTTCCACAGCCAAAGAGCTGCAGCCACTGATCTCAAGTGCTTCCAAAAACTCTTGTGTAGGACTTGGAGGGCTTGCAGGAAAGGAGACTTCGATGAAAATTCTGCTTCGCTTGCAGGTGCGGAGGTGATATTTTTCGTATACGACTGAGGGGTTCCACGGGGGAGACAAGCTCACCTATACCGCTGATACTTCTGAGACGTCAGAGTCTGAAACGTCAAGCACTGGCGCCAAACGCCGCTGCAGCTCAGAGTATCCACCACTGGGACAGGCACAGGCCTCAAGCTATTGCACATATCAGCACAGCTTGACTCTTCGCATGAAGAAACACATTTTCTTCAGGGGAGAGACGGGCACAGCTGGAGCAGAGCGTGGTCAGCCTGGAGATGTGACACCAGCCGCCTACTAAACAGCACATAGGTAGCTGCCTGAAGTTCTGCGGACAGAAAACCTTTGGGGGCACACATAGTCTATCCAGCATTGCCGAAGAAGAGCTGCGTGAGCCGCAAGGACATCGAATTTTACTGGGGCTCGTTCCTGCGGCGAAGCTAATTCACGTACGCAAGGACCCGCCCAATCAAGATCCGGCTGGCAAAGAACCGTAGTTACTCAGCATACATGTTGATTTGCTTCTCACGAAAACTTCCTGCCAACCCGTATAGCAAACATAGATCACCTAACCCTGAGACTCTGCGCAAGTCATCGACATAGAAAATGCTAACAGTCCACCACGACAACAGGTCATTGCGCGGCGTCTGCGCACGGGCCAAGCGCAAGAGCAAGACATGTGCTAGCGCGGGTGGCGTGGTCCATCTTCACTGCGCTAAGAGATGTGGAGAACATGTGTATTGATTACATTGTCATGTTTATGTAGATTGCACATTTCAGTGACGTGACATCCCTGTTCATGTCTCATTCGTCCTAAACTCAGTCCCTCAGTAAACTAAATTTGCATCCGAGGCCGAAACGATGCATATGAAATGATACGATCTCCAATCCCATGGCAATTCGTCCCTTCATCAACCGCAACAGTTCACCGGTGCAACCCGTAGAGAGTTCCGAGTTCCCATCAGTTCCTCTATGTGCACTAGGTGTCTAGGGCTGTGGCAAAAGCGAAAAAACGAAAGCTGCTCCCTCTGTGCTCTCACATCTGGGCACCACAGCCCATCGAAAGCGGAAGTCCGACACCGCACAGCCAGCCCTCACAGCGCGCAGAGCGAGGATTGAGATGTAACATCGCAGAGCTGGCCCATGGCTTTTCCATTAAGGCCTTGTTTTTGAGCGTTTGGGCTTCATGCTAAGCCTCCGAACATTAGCAAGTCACAGTTCCTTTGGCGGTATCGCTGCAAGAACCTTGGCGCAAGCTCCATTCTTCCAAAGCAAAACCCCATTTTCTAAGTTTACTCTTACATCGCTACTAGGAGCAAGGACGCTACTAGGAGCAAAGGGCATCGCTACTAGGAGCAAGGACACAAAAGACTGGGCTCCCTGGCTGTGGCAGTTCAGCAGAGTCGAACCACACAAGGTTTGTCAAAGGTTTCACCTGTTCGAGGCTGGGAGCAGTTGTGGTAGAAGTAGTCGATAGTATACAGTCGGTTGTCGTAAGGGTGCCTTTGACCCGATCAGATCTAGCGTCCTAGTAGCATCCTTGCTCCTAGTAGCAAGAATACTACTAGTAGTAATGCCCTTTGTTAGTAGCGATGCCCTTGTTCCAAGTAGCTTCTTGTTAGAAGAAGCACTTCTCTCTAGTTTTGGGTTGAAAACTCAGGTCCATCGCCTTGCGGGGAAGCTCCGCAAACCATCGCCTTGGCAGTCGAAGTCTCAACCACAAATCAGGTAAATGCAGGAAACAGTTGTTGATCAAAGGTGAACTTTTGTCATTGTTATTTGTCATTGCCATTGGTCACAATATAATATCAACTGGACTCATTCACCTGCCACTGCCACGGTAGTCCGTTTGTGTTCATTGATTGACATGGGGAGAAGCACAACTGAGGAGAACAGTGCTCACTAGGCTGATAGTCACAGTGTCTGTCGGCGGAAAGCGCGTCTGACAAGCCTGTCCAGATCTATCCAGTGCTGTTGCTGAAGCAAGGGAGTTCCAATTCACTGACCAACACCAGAAAACAACATTCATTTGGAGGTCCACAGTAGGGTCTCGCTGGGTTTTGATCGAGCCTTCCTGAGCCTGGTGCTCTGTTTAAATCAGGTTCCAAGACTATCCAAGCATTGAGGCTCCACACATCCTGGACCCCTCTGGGCGTGGATCGGGCGGGGCCAAACACATGGCCCCCAGGATCACCTGGTTGCGCAACCAGCAAAAGGCTGTTGCGGCTAATAGCTTCTTGCTACTAGTAGCGACCCAATTCCGCTCGTACGTCAAATAACCCCAATTCCGTTGGACTGAGCTTCCTCCACTGTGCCAACTTAATAAACCAACAAAAAGGAGAACACATGAGCGCACTGCCTTAGCGATCATGACCTCTTCTGCAGGTATGAGGATCACCTGGTCTGAACAAATGCAATCTTGATTGCTGAAGATGAAAGAGCCAAAACTCCAGACGGGGGCCAGGAATTGAAGTCGGCATTGAAAAACCAAGAATTCAACAGCTATCTGTAGTTTCAGACCATCGCTAGTAGGTTGGAGGCCATTGCTATCTCTTCAAAAACAAAAGGGTCCATGCTCTGCCGCAGCCTCGTCCCGCAAGGAGCCTGGGAGGAGGATCTTCATCTACGCAGGATTCACTACCCCTTGTCCCGGACGAACAGGTCGAAAACAGGTCTCCAGGTCTGGGAGTGGCTTTGGTAAAGTGATGGGCCTCCAACCTACTAGCGTCCTTGCTACTAGTAGTAGTGCCCTCGCTACTAGTAACGTTGTTGCTACTAGTAGCGATGCCCTTGTTACTAATAGCTTCTTGGTACTAGTAGCGATGCACTTGTTACTACTAGCAATGGCCTCCAAGCGAAGTTTACACCACCATTGGACGCCCGGAAGGCCCACCATTCGACACTCACAGCACTTCGCCTTCCAAGTGCTCTCTGGACACAGAGTCCTCGGCGAACGCTTTTGCTCCTAGTAGCGATGCCCTTTGTTCCTAGTAGCTTCTTGTTACATCGCAAAAGTTGATGGTGCTGTGATGGTGCTGTCGTCACGTCCTGTCATCCAGGGAGTTACTCCAGTCGGTCACACTGTCATGTTGTCACATAGCTCCCTCGAACAGAATCCTCCAAAGTATACCTATCATTCTACGGTAAAATTCAAGGACACGTCCGGTGAGCAAACCTTTCACATGGATCGCTATCAACTCTGCCTTGTTGGCTACCAAAGCTTGCCTCTGCATGCCCCGTCCCATTTTGGGATCCTTGCACACACCAGGTCTAGGCTAATTAGGTATCCCAGCATGGACTTGGCCCAGAAAGAGCAGGGATAAATCCCAATCCTTCGACCTGGCTCCAACAAGCGTCTTTTTCTATCCCGACATTTCACCTCACAGCAGCGTCCTAAACAGAGCTACCTGATGTACCTTACGTCTGCCTTGTTCAGTCCTTCTTCGGGCAGCCTCTCCAATGAATGTCTGCTGTCAGCAAACACCCGGGTCATGCTGTCTCTCTACGTTTCTTACTGTTGAAGGTATCTCTTTTGCAACTTAAGCAACGAGGTCCCTGACGAGGCGATGAATACCAGCGCTGTGTGTTCCGTCAGACGTCGCCTGAAGTCACAGGTCTCCACCATGGGCAAGAACCACTTCGAGAACCTCAGTAAGCAAATAGCAAGCAATACATAGTAATAATACACATCAAATATCATCAGATATTCTTTCCTTGGCGGGAGGGCAAATTTCATACTTCTGGACAAGTTCTGGACCACAGGGTGAAGAATCTCCAACTCCAGCACGCTTGAGGAGCAGGTTCCGAGGTTGGGAGCTGGAAAGCGGAAAGTTCAACCCAAAGGCTTTACATCTCGTACAACACGCGTTTGACACGCATTTGTTCGGGGAGTTGCATAGAGTGCACCGTTAGTGCACCGTGCGCACACTGAGCGCCACATCGTAGAGAACGCCACTTGGACACCTCTTGGACCCAGACCCATCCTGGCATTTCTTGTCCATCTTTTTGCAGATCTTTCGAAAGCCTCGCTGAGGCGTTTCTACTTTGTAACGGTGGCAGACTGGTAGACCGAAATCATCAAAGTTTTGTCCAATTTTTCAAGTCAGGCAGCTCAACATAGCTTCATTGCATCAATGGCATCAAAAAAGCAGGTATAGAGTCTAGAGTCCGAAGACGGATCCTAGTTGTGATTTTGTGAATATTTGTGGCAAATGTGTGGCATGTGGGAGGGAGATTCCAAAGCGGCCGGAGTCGGAGTCGCCTTCTTGGTTCAAGTTCCAAAAGCGAAAGAGTTCGATGTAATCCTGTGCGCGGACTCGTGTGGTCCGGTCGCCCGATCCAACATCGGTGTGATCCGTCCTCCACGAGGACTTTGATCCGGTCCTTGCAGATGTGGTTCGGCCTGAACTCGACTGGGAGCGATCGGACGCTACTAGTGATGTAACAAGAAGGCTATTTGTCGAACGTCCGCCATCGTAAAGAACAAATACACAGCATCCTGGTGATGTCGTGACAGTAACATGAAATTGATGCAAAACACTACCGTTACAACTTTTTCAGGCGGGAGTTTCAGCTTTTGAGCACGATCTGGTTGTAAAGGCCACAACAACAGCCACAACATGCCACAACAGAATCTCAAATAACAGGCAGCTTCACAAACGGCTAGGCCCCTGTTATGCATTTTGATCTGTCCGAGTTTTTGTGAGGATTCTTCGACGGTCGACCCCCACACCGAAACAAATGAAGTCGACTGGCGTCCGTTCACCAGTGCCTCTGCAGCATGTACCGAATCTCGCCACCAATGGTCTGACCGAAAGGAGCTGCGGAGAAAAGGAAGAAGGACATAGTCTTAGTGAGGGCCTTTTTTCCGATCATTTTGAAGGACCAACCTCCGAAGAGATGTCGAGAGTACACTGGAAGACGTTTTAGGCAAAGCACAACGAAAAGCCTAGAAAATCCACCTGTATTTGTATTGATTGTGTCTCGGATCACCTATATTCCAACCCCAATATCTGTGCATATCTCCCGTCTCAAGAAGGACCCCCTCGAAGCAAAGTGCTACTTCTGGCGATCGATCACACAGCTTCGCTCGCTCCGCACCTGGGCTTGGAGTTCTGCATAGCCACTGATCTTCAGCAGTTGCTGCCTGGAAATTAGATTTCGACCCGTTGTCAAGATTTCTCATTGATAGAATCAAATGTCAATCATCAAAACACGTATTTCCGCCACTGGAAAACGGCGGAGGTCGGAACCTCAGCAGTTCACGGAGCCGGCTCTGCTCATTTCCTTGGGATAGCCAAGAACGGGCCAAGACCGTCAGATTCTAATTGAATTCTATTTATATATTGTTACTAATAGCTTCTTGTTACTAGTAGTAAGGCCCTTGTTACTAGAAGCGATGCATTTGTTACTAGTAGGAGGCTCCTATTCAAATTTCAGACCTCACAAATCACATCTTCGCTCGAGTCAAGCTCCGGGCCTTTGATCAATTGCTTGAACTCCTGTTGACGTCTTGGAGTCAACCGAGTTGCACCAATCGAAGATGAACCAATAGAGAGTCTAATCAAAGTCATTCAACTTCTGCGACATCACTCTTCCTTCTAACTTGAAGTCCAATTGTCCGGTCAATTGGCTGCGCATCGCCGGCACCTTGTAGGCCAAGTAGAAATTCTGATAGCGGGGATGTGCTTCTGCATGTCTTTGTATCTCCTGCATCTCAATCTGATCGAAACATGTAACTGCAGTTCCGACAGCACTTCAAAAGTCTTTGTAGAAACCGGAAGTTTGCTCAAATGTTCAAGCGACTGAATCAACTTGACACTCATCCTGACTAAGAACACATGCTTTAAACAAACAAACAGACCTTGCACCAGAAAATGAAGGACACTCCATGTTGAATTTCAGGATATTTCAGCTATTAGATCGCCTCTGTCTCAGGCTTTTGAGCACAAGTTGAATAGCAATATGACCCAAACTCCGAGAAGCAAAGATATCCTTCCTCGACACAGTCTTCCCGAGCTCCAAATGTTTCTTCCCGACACGCGTGCGCCTTGCCAAACTTCATCTGCTCGCCATGGCGACGTGAGCAATGCGTTACCAACAAAGTGCCGATGGACTTGGCGAATCTATGTCACTTTGTTGGTTCCCGTTAGTTAAAAGAGTATCTAGCTTGATGTCATGGCACTGCTTAGGTGCAAAGCGACACAAAGATGGACCCATTTGCCTCAGGCTCATTGCAACATGCCCGCAGGATCGTGAAGTGAATCGTTCAGAGACGGAAGAAGAAATTATTGAAGCTCCAATTGATTGCAAAAGCCAGGTCTATTCACAACTCACCATCCGTCTTTCTGGATGGATGTGTGTGGATTGCACTTGAGGGGCCGAACTAACTTGAGCTCAACATGGCCATGGTGTCAGGTTGCTACTGGTGGTTTGTTGTGCCAAAGCAGGTCTGGCACATGAAGTGTTTGTTGCAGACTGGAGGGCACAGTTTGCTTAACTTTCAAAAAATATCGAACCACAATGAATAGTGCGAGGGCTTCTTCAAGGAAGCTCAGGCGGGATAGATCTTGCAAGAAGCCTGAGCTTTCCGTCCAAGCCTAAGAAGCTACTTCCTGCTGTTCAAGTCCGGTTTGGAGGACTTTCCGTCAAGCGGCACTCGCTCAATTTTCTTTGGGTAGCAGTGCCGGAAATGCCATGGACGCAGTGTCAGGGCTGTGGAAGTGAAAGCTCGGTTCTTGTGTCTGAAAGCAAGTAGTAACAAGAAGCAAGTAGTAACAAGTGCCACGCTAGTAGTAACAGGTGCCTTACTACTAGTAACAAGAAGCAAGTAGTAACAAGATGCTACTTGAACCCTGATCTTGTCGAGTCATGAAACACCGAAAAGACATTCTTGTTTCGGCGCGGATTGTTTCACTCTTTTCGAGCAGCTCGGTTGTCAAAAACGTACTTCATACTTCCCCCTTTCTCGAAAATCCCTACAGTGGGTTCGGTTGCATGTACAATTCGATTCTACTCATGCCCTTTAAAGGTCCACGGTCTGGTCTCCGGTGTCAAGGCAGAACCAATTTCATTCACCGCTCAAAGTAGCGAAGTGAAGTATGATCTTGAAGCCTTCGAGTCAGAAATATGGTGCATCTTTCTCGGCCAGCAAACCAGCCAAAGAAATCAGCAAGGCCAACAACCTGTACCAATATACTAAAAGCAACTATTGTCTTCCTGAGCTCGTCATTGATGAACTTTCAACTTGCTTCAAAGAGCTTCAGATCTGTTTAAGTCTCAATCGGCACTGAGAAGGCCCTGGCAAGCCAACTTCGCCTTGGCAGGTCTGGTTCTTTATTGCTTTATTGTGCAGTGAGAAGCCAAGTTTGCAAAGGAGATGGAGGAGTTATATTTTGACAGGTGCACTGGTGCGGGTCTTGCTCTATTCTCCGAAAAGGTATTCCGCCTTCAAGACCGCCGATCGAACCGATCCCGGCAACATATCTCTTGTCGGGACATCTGGAAGACTAGATTCCAAATGATCCAAACCTTTTGCGACCCCACAAGTTGATGCAAACAAGCGAAAGCAACAAACTATACTTAAATTTGTTCATCTTTGTTCCGTGTTTTCTCTCTTGGTTTCCATCAAGCAATTCCACCACCCCTCTTAGGCAAATGATTCTTAAAGTTGCCAGTCCCCATTTTTGGATCAAGGACGCTATTAGGTTGGAGCCCATCGCTAGTAGGTTGGAGGCCATTACTAGTAGCTAGAAGCGACTAGGAGCTCCTGGCCTTACTACTAGGAGAAAGAACGCTACTAGGGGCTCCTGCATCGCTTCGAGTAGCTAGAAGCTACTAGTAACAGATCAATGCTCTTGGGATCTCTTCGGACTCCTTTCGCGGAGGTGCTGGACCTCTTCCTTCCTTCCTTCCTTCCTTCGTTTCCGCTGAGTGCCGGGCAAACGATTTGGCATCCGTGGCTTTTGACTTGATCAAATCCGCGCTCAACCCCGTCTTCCCGGCAATGGCAGCTGCATCGCCTCTGCGGTGACAGTTTTGAAGTCAGTTTCATTAGTATCGGAATTGCTAGCTCTTCGGCCGAGAGGAACAACCTGGGAAGCCCAGCCCCCACAGTTGGCGAAGACCTTCTCCAAGTTTTCCAGCATCTTTGTGTCCAAGGCGTGGTCCTCTTTGGTCTCCACCTGTAAAGGTGGCGAAGGGGATGGTTCCCGATTTGGAAGTATGGGCTATATGCTCGATGCATTTGCCGGGCAAACCAAACTCCATGTCCTTCTGTGCTTTGCAGTTTGTTTTACTCGTATCCCAAAGTGACTTCTCCATTGACAGCCAAACAGGCTTGGTCAATTCATTCGACAACAATGATCCAAATAAATAAAGGTTTAGGTTTTGATGGAGCTATAGTTAAAACAAACAGGCAGCGATGATCGAATTTTGTTACAAACAAAAAATGCATTTTGCGCTGCAATCTTCAGTAGGCGGCCTTCTTCATCTCCTTCAGCTTGGACTGCAGATCGGCCTCACTGGGTGCCTGAGTTGGGACGAAAAGTGGCATGGAGCGCACAGTGACGAGGCATTCAAACGCGGACTATGCACCTATGTCTTGTTCCTAGTAGTAAGCTCCTAGTAGCGATGCCAGGAGCCCCCAGTAGCGTCCTTGCTCCTAGTAGTAAGGCCAGGAGCCCCTAGTAGCGCCCTTGCTCCTAGTAGTAAGGCCCCGACCTGTATCTTTTGCTAGATGCGGAGTACCGCAGGATAGCATTGTCTTTCAGCTCTACAGCCCAAGAGCTACGCAAAGCTGGCTTAGCTTCCGACGGTTGACATCTTCCTGCAAGACGGTGAGCATATGGCTGCGGGACAGCACGTTGGTAAAAAACATGTGAAAACTATTCGATTCAAGGGGAAGTTCGCACAAAAACTGCTGAGAATAGTTGATCCCCTTCGCATACCGACTACAACTCCTATGGATTTGAACATCCAGGGCCTGAGTGTAGGACTCGAGTGTTGGACCCCTCTATCCCTACAACGCCCAGAACCATCAGCGCTAAATTGATAGAACAAGTCCACGAGACATACATGCCCCACAAAGCTTGGGGTCCACAAATCCACAAACAGGTTCCCACGAAATTCTCCCCTAGTAACAAAAAGCTACTAGGTGGAGGCCATCGCTACTAGGAACCATAAGGCTTCTTTTTTGCTTTGGACAGATTGTTCGGAGAGCCTTGCTATGGTGACCGAATGAATGTTCGCATTCTTCGCCGAGGGGCCACGAGAAATCGGTAAATACCGAGGCAAGTGCGTCGCGTGCGTGAAATCTCTCAATGCGCTTGAGAAAAAAACATCGGGAGAACACACAGACTCTGGATACAAATCTGGAGGGTTCTGCTTTACACATTTGAGAAAAAGGAATTGACGAGCTTTAAATAGAAATATGTTGTGGGTCACGAGCAACCTTGACAAATCTCATTGATGCATTGCACTCCGTTGAATAAACAAATTGCGATTGAAACCTGCACTACTACAAACATCACAGAATCATACAGAATCAGACTCTGCAAAGCAAGAGAAGTGGGCGCCACGAATGTCCTCCTCTCAAGTTGGTCGGATGCGAAACTGCGAAACAGACTATCTCTCTTTGCTGATTTTTCTCGCTCCAACTCCACCACCACCTGCACCACTTCAACAGCAAATGCCAACACATTTCAAGCGTACATGTTTGAGGCTTTCGAACATTACATAATTCCTCTTGGGAAATTGCATCAAATGAAGCCCGCTTCGCGCCGCTTCGCGCCGCTTCTCCATTCAAGTCTGAGTCCAAACATGTCTCCACCTCCAAGTGTCTAGTCTGCGGAAACAAATCAAACGGCGTTGCCTTGGCGGACTCGGGCTCAAAGGGGCAGATTGTTTACAATTCTGGAATGCGAGTGGATCTTAATCAGCGAAGTTTGAAGCTATCACTGACGGTCCATAAGCGGCGTAGCGTCGGAACGGAAACCGCACCTTTTCTAGTCGCTTGATCCTTGAGCCAAAGTACATATGGTACATATATATGTACAAGTTGCACTGTACGTGTCGCTGCACTTCCATTCGCACCCCCCATGTGAACGGCAACAATATGTTCCGATCACACACGAAAATTTAGGGATGTAAGTGCTACAAAAGAAATTGTATGATTTGCCGCGAGACTCATATGAGGCTCATACTACGAAACATGCTGGACTAAAGCGGACTTTTACATATAAAGTGTGCAACTATGGCTCAGAACCTATGAAAAATCGAATTGAACAAGTGAGACAGTCACGAGGCCTCGCTCAGTATCCACTCAAAAGAGCATCGCTTTGATGTAGATCCGAACCGGTGACTTCCACGTAGATGTCACATCGGCAACTGACTTCACACTTCTCAAAAGATGTAGGTTTTGATTCGGATACACTTACAGAAAGGCAAGTCGGAGAGACAGTCGGTGACTGTCTGCCTTCCATTATGCTCATGGTATCAAATCAGATTGACGATTTGCAATGATACACTTACAGCGTTTCAGGTCAGATAGACATCCGGTGAATGACTTCCTCCCTGGTTTGCATGGTATCCTCATAGTCGTTCAAAGAAATCACCACTGGCGATAACCTCTCCATCCACGATGATCCCAGCTGCCCTGGGCATCCCACCGATCATCTTCTCCCTTCTTGGACTTTCCCTTGGACTTGCTCTTTCCCTTCCCCTTTTCAGAAGGTTGAGGTACTTCGCGACGTTCTTGCGTTAGTGCCGGCCTCCAAGATGTTCCAGATTGGCCTCCTCCTTTGGAATGTCCTCGGGATGATGAAGAAGTTGTACCTTCTGCTGCATGTGCGTTGGCGGCAAGATCTTCCTGCAAAGCTTGCTCAAACACATCGGTAGCACTGGATGGTGATTTATCATGTGGTCTGGCTTTTGGAGCAGCCTTCGCCTTGTTCTCCTCTGCTGATGAGGGCCCGAAACTCTTAGGTGCTGTTGAAGGTTTTGGCTCCTCACTTGGTGCTGACGACGGCTTGGCCTCGGTTCTGGGTGTAGATGCTGGCTTTGCCTCAGCTCTTGACGAAGATGCTGCTTTCGCTTCAGACTTAGTCGTTGATGTTGACTTAGCTGTCGCCTTGGCTGCCTGCTTCTTCTTGCCCTGAATCTCCTTGGCCCTATCTCCAAAGCCTAGACGATTGGTAAGAGCTTGAACATGCTTATGTTCTACCACGCTCATCCATCTCTCTGTATGTCCAACGTTGGGGTTTCTGGCCATTGACTCTATGACTTCCTGAGCTTGTGGGGGCAACCTGATCTCATGTTGATCAATGATCAACAGAATAGACTTCTCCCACTTGCTCTTCATTCTCGAGTACATGATGTCCAGAGGATCGATCACCTTGTGGTAGGGTGATGTAACGTCGGTTCTAAAGTAAGAATATGTCCGACACCCATAAATCGCATGGATGCACTTCTGTACCAATTCAGTCATTGCGCTGGCTTTCTTCGCTTTCAACTCCTCAAGCTGGGCATCAGTCAAGTCGGTGGAGTGTTCGAAGTTGCCATATTCCCTCTTGAAGGATTGCGGAGTATGACCAAATGATAGGATCACGAGTGCCACCTTGCAAATGAATTGCTCTCCTCTGAATCGGTGCCAGGCCTCCTCAGTCGTAATATTGTTGTCGTTGGCAAAGATTAACATCATGTCATCTGTTGGATCCAATGGTCTCCCATCGTCATCGATTTCAGTGGAATCTCCTGTACCGAACTTGCTTATCGCATCCAGACGCTTCTTTTTCCAATTTGCTTTGAAGTCGGTAAGGCTGGTGCAATAGTAGCTCTTGTACATCAGGGAGATCATGTTCAGCACACATTTGACCACATACCTATCCATCAAACCCGATGCATTCATGGAGACGTCCTGACAGTAGGCTCTCTCTTGATGCGCATAGATTCGAGGTTCCGGTACTCGACAATAGATGGGGAGATCTTCGTTGTCTCTTCCTTCTTCGGGATTGAACTCGGTCGCTCCATGCTGTGCATAGTATCCCGGTTCATCACGATCTGTCGGTCGATTCGCCTCCGGATGTAAGTCGTCGGTGACGTCTTCATCCTCGGGTTCACCATCTTGACGTTTCTTCCCCTCATATTGTTGTGTGCTCCTCTGGATCTCGATGATCACGTTTCGTTCGTCTTCATCTTCTAGATCAGAATCATGACCGTAGTCGATCTCGTCCTCATTGAAAGATGGGGTCTCGACATTGTCACTCTTGAAGTTTTCTGCACCATCAGACGGTTTGGAAGGATCTAGATTGTCCATGTCCTCGTCGTCGTCAGCTGCTTCAGTTTGAGCGATGTCTTCTTCCCAAGCCTTTCTGATCTCGTCCATAGTGGCCTGGTCCAATATATCTTGATCATCATCTTCAGGCTCCTTCTTTTCCTTCTTTTCCTCTTCATCGTCGCTCACAAGATCAACGGGTGAATCGGAAATGACAGTGTTGCGAATACCACACGAGAGTAGCCTGCCTTGACAAGATAGACACACGGACAAAGATGAAGAAGTCAAATGCATACATGATGGACACAAAATATTGCCATCCACGTTGCGATACCCTTCACATGTTCTGGAGATGATTTCGTCCCAAGTTTCCTCACTGATGGAATCCTCGATCAGCTCTCCATTGCCATCGAATTGTACTTCATCGATAAGGGACACGAGCTTTTGGACGTTGTCATCTGTCGCCGAGGCTGACTTCGTGACTTCGTCGGCTCTCTCGAGGATGGTATGCTTCTGAGCAACCCAAAGTCCATGATGTGCCGCTAGAACAACTTGCTCTCCAGTGCTTCCCAGCAGGAGTCTCCTCCATGCCTGAACGTAGTTGTCCCAATACCAAGCACCTCGTACACATCTCCATGGAACTTCTCTAAAAACAACAGTGTAGGAATTCTCCGAAATTCTTCCCCCAAGCTTCCTCAAAGTCATGATTGGAACATAAAGACAAACGGGCATTCCCACTCTTGGCCATCTTGATCTCAGAATCTTTGATGATCGATCATCCCACGGCGCAAAGTGGTTGAAGAAAACACTACCTCTATATCCCTCCGTTCCACCAGGGACAATTCCTAGTTTCATGATTGACTCAATATTGGAAAGCGATGTCATGCGAAAGCTTCCTCCAAGCTGCATTGCCACATTCTCTGGAATGAGATGTGAAGTCCACACAGGATATATTGACACATCCTCTTCAAGAACAGTCTCTCTTCCAGAATTGTGAGAGGCAACAGCTCGAATTGCACAAGGAACGATCCAACGTTCATGCTTCAGAAATGACGGTGCGTCTGTGCTGTAAAACATGAGGTTTGCCCAGTATTGCCTTTCCTCTTCGAGTGAGACATCCTCCTTTGAGATGCGAATGGCGGCAATCTGATAGCGTACTCTGTTCTGCAACTTCTTTGCATGCCACATCGCCTTGCATAAATACTGGTATCGCTCTGTCTTGACATCTTGACGATGCCGATCACCTGAGATAGTACTGATATCGACACCATCGTTGAAGACATGGTCATATTCCAGGATCTCATTGATGTTCACCCATCCACCCTCATTGCACTTCGGGGACACATGAGGTTTTCGACCGCGGTGCGATTGAATCCCATTATGCTTTCCCACTCCATGCCTGAGTAGTCTATTGAGTCTATGGCTAACCTCGTTGACCCGCTGACTCTCCTCGCTGAACTTGTCGATGCGAGTTGCTGGGTTCATCTTTGGTGGATCCGTGAAAGTTGCATCTCTCTTCGGTCCATTCCAGTACTCCACATAGAATGTAACTCCATACTGTGGAATTATCTCGA